GTAGTGTTTATTGATGATGTGACCCAGGAGTTTATTAAAGCAAAGAAGTGGAATTTTCTTGAACGGCCAAGTCAGTCACCTGATCTCAACCCAATTGAGCATTTTTGTTTTGTTTAAAATTCATTGTGGTAATGTCTAGAACCAAAATTAGAAAAATGTTGTTTCTGTCCAAATACATATGGACCTAACTGTATGATTAAAATACAATGAGATGAGACGATGAGATGAGATATGATTAAGATACGATGAGATGAAATGTGATGATTAAGATAAGAAAAGATAAGATAAGATGAGATATAATATGAGATGAGATTAGATGAGTTATGATTAAGATACAATGGAAGAAATTTGTCATAGAAAAAGGGGACAAGGCTGCAGTAATTTATCCAAAGTCAATTACAATAAATACATAAAACTAGCACAAGTGATTAAATAGACATACATCATATTTTTTGTAAAAGAAGCACAGTGGTACACAATATTAACATGCAAAAGAAAACATGCAGTATTCAAATGGGCAGTAATTCCACACAAACATACGTACCTGTTCACACACACGTCAACCCTTTCATACAATTCTTGAAACTCTGTTTTAAAAAAGACAAAGCTAACGTTTCACACCAATAATTACTAAGCAGGTTTGTACCTTTTCTCTCATACTTAACTACAAACCATGCTGACGGTTCATAAAGTCAGGTTGTTTTTCTATGAGGAAGAAAAAAAAAACACAAGCTGCTTTTCATACCAACTCGTTAATCTCATCCAGGCATTAAGTCTAAAATCTGTTCTTGTTCTATTTTTCTGCCAAAGCTCTGATCCAATGATGCGCTGGACGTGAATCAGTGGAGCACATGAGAGCAGGAAATAAAACAGGTTGTGTGAGATGCTGAGCTCTTTATGAATGAAAAACACTTCTTTCATGTGAGGAGCTAATTGCACTGAAGGAGGGGAGGTTTGAAGTGAAAACAACAGGGAGGATCAGATTAGGTTTGTAATGTTCCTGAAGTCATCTCGTACCTGAAGATAAGAGTGAGTGACGAGCCCTCAGTTTGTAACCTGACCTGCTGTTCTACTTTCTAATTTCACTTTCAGTGAAAACAGGTCAACCTTTTGGTTTAGGTGTCGTCAGGATAATTCASTCTGCCAGCAGATAAAACTGTCACGGCTCTCTGCCCCTAAAAAAAGCAACCATTATAATTAAAGCATCAGCCTGGGAGCCCTTTGTTTTCCAGCGTTCAGCTCTTCGGCACACTTTCCCAGCCTGCTATTACTGGCTGTTTATCCGTCTGCTCGTCCTGCACACAAAGGTAAATACAGTGTTTGTGAGACACATGATGACTGTCTGTGGTTCCCCCTGCAGGAGCTGGAACAGATTATCTCTCAGATGATGCGRGTGGCCGAGTACCTGGAGTGGGACGTGACAGAACTCAAACCAGTGAGACTTTATCCAGAGACAGATCCCTTTGAAGGGATCCCCGATTAGTTGTAACATTAGACTTTATTTAATAAACATATACTTTAACTGTAAAATAAAGACTGTAAAAATACTGTAGGATGTTCAGTTT